ATCTGTTTGTCATTACTGGTGTCCTTTTCTGGTTGCTAACAAACGCCATTGTAACACATAATCACTGATGTTCCGCTGTAACGGTGGTGGACTCATCAGAACAGAGTGGGCGAGCTGACCAATCAGAGCACACTGGGCTCATAGGGAGGGGGGGGGGCAGGAGCTCCAACAAGCCGTTTAGGACAGAGAGTGAATACACATACTATACAGAGATGCTGGATGAGAAACCAATGTGATTTTGGAAAATTGCACAATATAAATCTATTCTAGTAGACCTCAACAATGGAATTATGATCAGTAGAAATGGCCATGACATGGGACCTTTAATGCTGCTGTACTCCTGTCTGTCTAATTGCAACATGATACACAGGGCGGAAAACAGAAAGCGCACGACAGGGTGGTGGAGGAGTGGGAAGATTGTGACAGACAGCCAGGGGCAGAACAGGAGCCAGAGCGCACACACACACACACACACACAAACACACACCACACACACAAACACACCACACACACACACACACCACACACAACACACAAACACACACACACAACACACACACACACACACACACACACACACACACACACAACACACACACACACACACACACACACACACACACACACACACACACACAATCACACACACACACACACCACACACACACACACACACACACACACACACACACACACAACACACACACACACACACACACACACACACACACACACACACACACACACACACACCTTGCTCATCCTTGCCAACATCACCCAATACATCCAACGCTCACCACTCCCACACTGCAGCCATAACGCTCTGATATCCCTTAATAGATGACACCAGGAGTATTCCTTACGTATTCAATATATTAAACTTTTTTAAATGACCACATATATGTGTTTTTTTTTAATGGAGGGAAAGGGGTCAACAGTAGATTCCACGGAACCTTTTGTAACTGCTGGAGGATTAATAATGTGCAGCTCAGCATTCGTGTCCACTTTTTTCTAGTCATAAATCTGTAATAGAAATGGTGTTTTGGTGAAGGCTCTGAACATTATAATGATATACTATTATGTCTGATGTTTCTTGCAGTAACTTTGATATTAATAGTTGATATTAAAGCCACTTTCTTAAACATATATTGTGCAAAATTAAACCATCAAAACCCACTAAAGAATTGATAAATATAGCCGAGCCCCGGGGCTGAATTATTAAAGACCGTGGTACCGTTAAGCTCCGACGTTATCGGTCTTTTTATCGGTACTGGAGACATCTAAAAAATATGTCATGTGTATTATTGCTACACAAACATTATATTGCAGTTTTAGTGTCGCCAACTCCTTTTCATGCAAAAAGACTGCAAAATGCGTCTATGATTATTTTTTGTATTTTCGATCTTTCCAATCCAGACGAGAGAGATCTCTCTCGCTGCTACATGCAGCAACACACACACACATGGAGGAGATGGCGGAGAGAACGCGCTCCGAGGTGTGGTTAAACTTTACCCGTCTCGATGTGGACAATGCTCGTTACCAAAAGTGCCATAAGAGTTTAGCATGTAAGGGCGGTAACACGAGCAATTTGTCTAAACATTTAGCAAAAGTGCTCCACATTCAGACGGAGAAACGCACCGGGTTCGACTGTCTCTCTAGTGGCTCTGTACCCCCATCCACGAGTAACGTTTCCACGTCAGGTATATTATGTATGCTAGCAGCAACACACGGAGTTAACTCAATGATATAAACATGGGTTAAAGGTTAAAGGGAACTGAGTTATTTATTTTGTTAAATTTTAACTGAGTTATTTATTTTGTTACATTTTCAGCTATTCTGTCATCAGATTATTTAATACGATTTGTTTAAACATTGTTGTTTCTTTTGATGTGAAATATTATTTATTTATTTAATTTAAATAAAAAGCAATGTTAGTTTTGTTCACAATTTGTTTAGTTAGTTTACCTTATTTTTTTCTCCAAAAGAACCGATAAGAGTACCGTTAAAGCACCGGATCGATAAGCGGTATCGATAAAAGTAGTAGTACCGTTATAACCTTAACGATACCCATCCCTAGTTATGAATATGGAATCTTACTTTTTATATTATCCACCCTCTTAGCATATCTATTTTCCTACTTTGTATTGCAACCACAGCAGCAATTTCCCCCAGGATAAACTCAGTTTTATCTTATTTTAAATTAAATTAGACCTGAGATGAGCCCGAGTTCAGGCTCATCTCTTCTGATATCTGTCAAAAAACATTCTTAGCTTGTCATATTATTTGTTCTTATTATTTACCACATGCTTTAAAATACACCACCTAAACCGGAGCAATATAAAAGTGACTGCAATGTGTATACAGGTCACCAGTTCGAGTCCCGGCAAGACCAAGTGCTACCGAGGTGTCCCTGAGCAAGGCACCGTTCCCTACACTGCTCCCCGGGCGCCGTCCACGGCAGCACACTGCTCCTAACACTAGGATGGGTCAAATGCAGAGGAACAATTTTGTTACATAGTACCTGTACTGTGAAATGACAATAAGAGCAATTTATTTGTATTATTATTTATTTATACAGCCTGGAGAGGTTTATGAATGATGTTACCATTACAAGTTCCCCTTAGTGTTTTGAAGTGAGGTGAACTCTTCTATACTGCAGTAAACAATCTGTATGGACCATTGTTGGAGATGTTCAGGGTACTTCCTGGTGGTCAATGTAGTGCTTAGTGAGCTAACCACCTAACGTGCATCAGTGTCTCTGAGAGGAATCCTTTGAGTCCCATCAGGGAGGAGGAACATCTCTCTGAAGCTCTCTAAACAACTCACCTCAAAGACCAACAAACAGGAGAGCTGATTACAAAGCCAGAAACCACTTCCCACAAATCACAGCTTTGGTGCTAAAAACAGGAAGTGATGACACTGATTTACAGATCCTTTACCATCCTGAAAACCAATGTTTGCTACTAAACAAAAGGCAATATAACTGTGGAAGTCATTATCCAACGTTCAAGACCACACACACACACACACACACACCACACACACACACACACACACCACACACACACACACCCACACACACACACACACACACACACACACACACAACACACAACACACACCACAACACAACACAACACTACACACACAACACACACACACACACACAACACACACACACACACACACACACCCACACACACACACACACACACACAAACACACACACACACACACACACATACACACATCAACATCACACACACACAACCCACACACACAACACACACACACACACACACACACACACACACACACACACACACACACACACACACACACACACACACACACACACACACACACACACACACACACACACACACACACACACACACACACACACACACACACACACACACACACACACACACACACACACACACGTTGTCAGTGATGGTCACACAGCACCCTCTAGTGGATAAAAGGGAAACTGCGCTTTGTTATATGTTGAAAATCAGCTACAATTTGGGGGATCTGATGAAGCATCAGCACGTTAAGGGGCCTACACACCAAACTGACACCAAAGAACACGTCCCGACGGAACACGACTGTTGCGTCGCCTCACGTCTCCTGCGTCTTGGCGATGTTTCGCACTAGAACACACCACAAAGACTTGTAGTTGCACGTACGAACTGCGCATGCGTGAGTGGCAATAACTCTCCTTACCAGCAGGCGGCGGTAGTGTGTATTCGTCATTCAAAAGAGGCAACAACCGGAAGACAGACTGCATGATACACCGAGAGAAGAAGAACAGACTGCGTGATATAAACAAACAACAAATAGCGTGTGCGTTCCATGTTCCCTCTACAGCGAGAAGCTCATGGGGCTTTCCTGAACCTGTGTCGAGAGCTGGAGGTAAATGAAATCTCAGATTTGCCTTCTTAATAGTTTGTTTGGGTCCCTCACTTCCGTTTCGCTTCTCATGCACTGACTCGCTAGCTGAACAGCCAATCAGAGTGATTTATTTGGCAGACGGCCTTTGGACGACAGCCTACCGATTCAACATGTTGAATCGGCGGCGGAAGGTGTCGGCACGGCCGAAAAGACACGACGGGGCGGGACACACCAATCTGAGTAGGGCGACACAACGCTCATCGACGGCCAAACATCTATCGACGCTGTATTCAAATTTTCGGCGTCGATAGATGTTGGACCTTTAAATGTCACACTGGTGCCATCACTGATACTAAACAAAAACACACATTTCAACTCACTTAACTTCATATTTCATTGGCGAAGAGCGACAGCGCTCACCAACTACAGCATGTCATAACCACTTCTAATTACAAGACCATTGGTTTGTAATAATGAGTTATGGTTAATCATTAAAGCCAGATGTATTGACAGTCTGTGTGCACACTTCTGTTCCTCATCAGGTTGTTCCTCTTACTCTCGTAAACTGAGAGCCTATTCCTCTTCATGATGACCTTTATCTGAGCGTTGTATCACAGCACATCTGTAGAGGGTTTATTACCAGTGGTGGAAAGGAACTAGGTACAGTAAGAAAGTGGCATGTGATTACATTTTTTACTCTACTACAGGATTCCAATATCTGTAGTTTGTTTGTAGTTTCAAAGTTGTATTTAACTGCCCAGTAGTTTATAAAGCATTTAAAATAAGCTCCACATTTGCCATCTTTGACTTTGACAATAAAGGAGCGACTTATAATTTGAAAAATTGAAAAAATACATTTTAAAATTACCATAGTTTATGAGAATTTGTCCCAAACAAGGCTTTTTAGAATAACAAATTGTGCGCTGGGACTTAGTATTTTAATACATATTGAGCTTTTAACAAATATTGTGCTTCCTACGAATATCGCACCGTTCCATATTCCAATTTCGATGATATTTTTAATGAAGTGTGCAGTCTCATTTCTTCCAAAACTGATCCTTTTTGACTGATAGACTTTATACGAAAGTTAAAAAGTGTCTTACTCTTCATGGTGCCGGCTTCTTCATCGTCCTCATCGTCAGAGTTGATGACCATGGTGCCGAGCTGCGACTGCATGGTGTCTTCGTCGTGATGAGAGATCATCGTTCGGGCCGTCCCGCTGAGCGAACCCGACAGAGACCCTGCAGCTCGGATCGTTCCGGAGTCGCCGGTTCCCGCTCGAACCATCGTGCCCTGATCCACCTCGTCCTCATCCTGACACGGAGCGGGGAAATAACACAGGTCAGAGGTGGAGGTCTGTTAAAGGTCCCCTACTATACTGTTTTTCATCAATATATTATAGGTCTCAGATATATACAGAACATGTCTCTGAAGTGTTTGGCTCCAAACACCAAACAGATCATTGCAGCATTACCCATAATCCCCTCTGTTTCAGCCCTGTTTCCAAAGTGCTGATTCTCTGTTTGTTACTTCAGATGAAAATAAGGAGCCCCTCCCCACGCCCCTCTGAGAGAGATTTGGTTAAAAGAACACAATGGTGCTCTAGGAGGAGATTCAGGTGATAAGGTGGAGGGGGGTTACCTTGGTTGGTGATTGGCTAATGGTTACACAAGACAACACATCATTATGACATCATAAAGTGGCCAAAATCTGATCAGCTCATTTTCAGACAGGTTTTTATATAAATGGATCAAAAAGAGAGAGAATCTTTGTTCCTGAAACTTTCAGAGTCTCTTTACACAGAGGGGACACATGTTGATGTAGAAGAGACATGAAGAAGAGGGGACACATGTTGATGTAGAAGAGACATGAAGAAGAGGGGACACATGTTGATGTAGAAGAGACATGGAGAAGAGGGGACACATGTTGATGTAGAAGAGACATGAAGAAGAGGGGACACATGTTGATGTAGAAGAGACATTGAAGAAGAGGGGACACATGTTGATGTAAGAAGAGACATGAAGAAGAGGGGGCACATGTTGATGTAGAAGAGATATGAAGAAGAGGGGACACATGTTGATGTAGAAGAGACATGAAGAAGAGGGGACACATGTTGATGTAGAAGAGACATGAAGAAGAGGGGACACATGTTGATTGTAGAAGAGACATGAGGAAGAGGGGACACATGTTGATGTAGAAGAGACATGAAGAAGAGGGGACACATGTGATGTAGAAGAGACATGAAGAAGAGGGGACACGTGTTGATGAAGAAGAGACATGAAGAAGAGGGGACACATGTTGATGAAGAAGAGACATGAAGAAGAGGGGACACATGTTGATGTAGCAAGAGACATGAAGAAGAGGGGACACATGTTGATGTAGAAGAGACATGAAGAAGAGGGGACACATGTTGATGTAGAAGAGACATGAAGAAGAGGGGACACATGTTGATGTAGAAGAGACATGAAGAAGAGGGGGACACATGTTGATGTAGAAGAGAAATGAAGAAGAGGGGACACATGTTGATGTAGAAGAGAGATGAAGAAGAAGAGGGACACATGTTGATGTAGAAGAGACATGAAGAAGAGGGGGACACATGTTGATGTAGAAGAGAACATGAAGAAGAGGGGACACATGTTGATGTAGAAGAGACATGAAGAAGAGGGGACACATGTTGATGTAGAAGAGACATGAAGAAGAGGGGGACACATGTTGATGAAGAAGAGACGTGAAGAAGAGGGGACACATGTTGATGTAGAAAGAGACATGAAGAAGAGGGGACACATGTTGATGTAGAAGAGACATGAAGAAGAGGGGACACATGTTGATGAAGAAGAGACATGAAGAAGAGGGGACACATGTTGATGAAGAAGAGACATGAAGAAGAGGGGACACATGTTGATGTAGAAGAGACATGAAGAAGAGGGGACACATGTTGATGTAGAAGAGACATGGGGAAGGTGAATTTGCATAATAGGTGACCTTTAAATAGGGCTGCAGATTTTAGAACAATTTAATGATTTTGTAATTGGGATATAAGTTTCATTATTAGAGGGATTGATCACTTTTTACACATTATTCACATTATTATTGGGGAATAAATTAAAGGGATCATGGTGTGATATGGGAAGAGGATTTATATAAAACAATATTCATTATTAAGTCTGTAGAATAGCGTTTGTAGGCCGGGACTTCTGTGCAGCTCCTCAATACTTCACATATTTTCCCATATTGAGCCTTCACGAAATATTGCATTTACTGCAATTTGGATATTGCACTAATCTTTATTGTGATTCCAATAAACGTACGATTAAAGGTAGGGTAGGTAAGAATGGAGAAACCAGCTCGAGTGCGCTTGAATTTGAAAATACACAGCCAGAGAAAATCTGCCACTTCCTTACAGAGCCCCTCCTCCAACACACACGGACGCGCACATGACCAATGAGGGCACGAGATAAGTTTGTGCACAGATGGAAGGCTGACAGGCAGGTAGGCCATCCAGTTACTTTAGCCGGGCCGGCTCAGATGATTGGTCGTGCTTTTTACAGCGCCACGGCTTCCACAGATGACATTTTTTTTAATGTATTTATTGTCAAAGCATTTAATGTATTCATTGCTATCGGGATGTTAAGAGCATTCCATGGAATATAACACAAAGTGTTTCTGAAGTGAATTACCTACCCTACCTTTAAGTGTGCAGCCCTTCTCTTAAAAGTCACTCAAAACGAACACATAATAATCTTTATATTCTTTTACCTTCTTGATAGTTCAGGGTTCATACACTTTTTCACCAATGATTTTCAATGACTTTTCCATGACCTTTACCTAATTTTCCATGACCAAAATAATTACTCTTTCTCAGCGGTACCACTGAAAATGGTTTATTTTAACATGGAACAGGAAAATAAGGTCTGAAACATGTTGTGCCGATCTAAAACAAATCAAATAGGCTTACTAGCTTCTACACGCTAAAGCAACTAAAATCTCTCATTACTATACGATACAGTATTTATTATCGTTATAGTATTACTATTTCGGCGATTAGATAAAACGTAAATTATATTTGATGCAACTTTAGTTACATTTCCATGACTTTTCCAAAACTTTGGGAAAAATATTGTTTTCCATAACTTTTCCAGGGCCTGGAATTAGCATTTTGAATTTCCATGACTTTTCCAGGTTTTTAATGACCGTAAGAACCCTGATAGTTTTTAAATCAGTTTAAATGTCTGATTATCTTTTCATATTCAGGTTTCTTGTGTATCTTGTCACAGAGTATGTGTTATTTCTGAAGCCATATGTTCTCATTTTGATATAATACTGATAGTGTGTGTACCGAGTTGTCGTCGTCCTCTGCGTCCTGCTCCCTCTGCTCCGCCTCCTCCTCTTTCTTCAGTTTTATTTCCATGGCGTCTGTGATCAGCGCTCGCAGGACGGAGCTGGGCTTCGCTGCCTTGATGAAAGGATGCTGGAGGAGGGAGAGAGAAAAAGAGAGACAGATAGGAGGTCAATTAACTGTGAAAGGTGTGGGGGAAACTTCTGAAGCAATTGGAGTCAGGATTCAGAGAGACAAGAGGAGAGCTGGAGCTTTGATGGCAAACACTGAAAGTTTATTTGGAGCTTCGGCCGGAGAATTCACAAGACATGTCACGGGCCACGGTTTGACCACACGGTAGAGATGCCACAATCTATTCTGAAGAGCCCTCCTGTAGCTCCAGGGTTGAACTAGTTCAGAGTGTAATAATCAACATTCTTAAATAGAGAGACTAAACAGCTGAGGACATTATTCCCCAACAAAAAGGACATTGTTTGTGTTGTTTTGGAGTACACATACAAGAAGCAAAGGGCTAATGTAATAGCTGTAAACAGTAACATGAACATTTCAATTAAAAAAATGAACGTCCTGAAATCAGAGGGTGTTTTTAATCCTTCTACATCCACAGTACAGGTTCAGTAGTGGAGTTGTATTCAGTGTTACCTGTAGTAGCTTTGTGGCAGTCGCTCGGTTTTCAGGGTTTTTCACCAAACACTGGCTGACGAAGTCTATAAACGCCGGAGACCAGAGGTCGGGGTTCCTGCAGGTCGGGGGGGGGGTTAGTGGGAATCATGAAGATCGCCTGGAGAGGAAAAAGAAACTCAGTAACTCAAGCTGAGAAATACTATACAGCAGCGGTTCCTACCCTTTTACAACTCACTTAAGAATCTAAAAAACTGTTCGCGGCCCACATTCAACCATAATCAATACTGATTGGTCGATTCAGAACAAGTGACACGTTGTTAATCCAGTAGAACAGACCGTTGCTAAGGACTGTAATGACCGTTGCTAAGGAGGATAAAGAAAGAGAAAGGAAAGGAGGTTCAAATAAAATACATCTTAATAATGAAATGTTTTGCAGATTATTTGGCGGCCCACTTGCAATGCGGGCCCACAGGTTGGGAACCGCTGCTCCTCTCCAGTATATTTCACACATCTATGATTCCCCTTTATAAACCCAAGCTCTTTCCCCCCTCCTCACCCTCATGGGATGGATGTCAGCGTATGGAGGTTTCCCCTCAGCCATCTCCAGAGCCGTGATGCCCAGAGACCAGATGTCCGCCACACAGTTGTACCCGATCTCCTGGATCACCTCCGGAGCCATCCAGAAGGGCGTCCCGATCACCGTGTTCCTCTTGGCCATCGTGTCCTGAGGAGGAGAGCTCATTAAATCTGAGATCAATATTATAAATACTTGTCTGACTGTGGAGACGATGTAAAGAGCTCCCAGAAAACACAACGACAGAGAACGTGCTTATAGTTTAACCTGTTGAGCCCTGAGCCTGTTTTCCAGGTCTCAGGCTCGAAAATGACATTCCCAGAACAAATGACCATATCCTCCCTTCTAAAAGGGTTAAATTAATCATCTTTTTTCTCAAAGCAATGATAAACCTGTGAGTTGGATGTAGAAAAGTCAGAATCAATATAGATATTTTTTATTTTAAAGTAAATTCAGATTGAACATAGTAAAAAAGTGTAAATTATAGTGTCCGTCCAAAAAGAAAACATTACTTATAGTGAAAACCACCCTTGAATGATGGGATAGTAGACTAAAAGCTTTAGGAATCCAAACTATAACATATAATAAGTACCCTGTATCAAGATTGATGCAAAACAAGCGACATTTGACCTTTTTAGAGAGGTTTAGCAAAAAAAAAACACCTCTGGGGTCATTTGTTTGTGCAGATACGATAAATAATAAGGGCATTTTAACGTGAATTATGTGCTAAGTGCGTTAACATTTTTTCGCTCAGGGCTCATTTAGACGCTTCTTGTGAGACTTGTGTTTTGTTTCAGTAAAAATGTTTCATATCGTCAGTTAGCTGAGTTTCTTCCCGTTAAGTGGGTATGACACATTCATAGGTTTTTAAATGTTAAGAAGCCCTGAGACACAGTTTCTTGGAAAAAAACAGGTTAAAAGGCACTGTTTGACTGCCTAATTAAACACAATGCTATTTTTACGTACTACGTTTCAACGACTCAAAGGTTGATGCTAAATGTTTTGTTTGACTAATAGATTAATTGATTTATTATTGCAGCTTTAATCACATTAGTTCACTCGTTTTGTAAAAATGTTATCTGGATGTTGTGCAGAGCTCATTGTTATTCTGACTCTTTTACGGGGAAAATCTGCATTTTGGTACGAGGGCGCACCCCGAGAGTAAATATTGCTTTTTATAATTAAAAAGCAATATTCACATTATCATTGAAAAATATATTAAAATGATAATAGCAGAATTTTTAAAAGGAATTCTGGGCCAAACAAGGATTTCTCTGTAAGTCTGTAGGATACTGTTTTTAGGCGTGGACTTCCACAATACTAGATCCAGTTATTTTCACATATTTCACTGATGATATTTTATAATTACTCACTGTGAGTTGTCCAGCGACCCCGAAGTCTGCGAGCTTGGCCTGGCCCTCGTTGTTCAGCAGGATGTTTCCCGCCTTGATGTCTCTGTGGATCTTCCTCATGAAGTGCAGATACTCCAGACCCTTCAGAGTCGACTGCAGGATCGCCGCCATCTCCTCCTCGTTAATCTGCAGCAATATCACACAGAAAGGAATGTGCATACAAGGAGTTTACCTTAGTGTTACGTTTCATATGAAATTATGAAAATTATTATGCAATAAAAGACAATAATACAATACTTTAATGTAATAACAGACAATGAGAGACACTCATAAACATCTGAAGTTGAGGTGTGTGTGTGTGTGTGTGTGTGTGTGTGTGTGTGTGTGTGTGTGTGTGTGTGTGTGTGTGTGTGTGTGTGTGTGTGTGTGTGTGTGTGTGTGTGTGTGTGTGTGTGTGTGTGTGTGTGTGTGTCCTCACCGTCTTGTTTCGTAGTCTGATGATGTCGGACACTGATCCGGCTCCGCAGTACTCCATGACGATCCACAGGTCGCTGTTCTTGAAGTAGCTGCCGTAGTACCGCACCACATGAGGGCTGAACACACACATTAAACACACATATTAAAACACACACTCACAATACAAAATATCAGTGTGTCATCAAATAAAGTCACTTGTCAGTTGTTGTTGTTGTTGTTGTTGTTTCAGACCACTTAACATGTCTAGTTGCTGTACATAAAGGGTAATAAAATCATCTATATAATAAGTCAGGAGACGTTAAATGCAATGGCTTCACAATGTTTGTGTTATGTCTTTCATGCTTCTACCAGAGGCCTGTACTACGAAGCTGGTTCAACCTAACCTGGATATGTTGGAGTTAGCCGGTTGGCCCAATCCAAAACATACGCGCTCTCGCTAAACTGTACTACAACGCCGGTTATCAAGTGGATCGCTCAAGCCAGCCGTGTCCTATCTAGTTAGGTGCGTGTTCACATGAAAGGGGTGGTATTTGGAGCATTCGACCAATCTCAAACACGGAGAAGCGTACTGACAGCGCAGCGTCATACTTCCTGAATGAAAAGTGAACTTTAATATTAGACAAATATGAAGAAGTTAAACTTTAAACATCCATGACTTAAAACACTTTATCCAGGATCAAAGCCACATAACTGCACCTGCAAGGTGAATACAGCTGGTAACAGAAAAAGTGTTTGAATACGTACATTAACAGGTTTATGAAATCACTGCCCCGTCCAAGACACGATCTGACTTTAATTACATTTGACTCGAGTGTTTCGTCAACTTAATATGTTGCTTAAAATAATACTTCTGCATACAGTATGTGACACTGTGAGTGTTGCACGGCCAGATACGGCTCAAGAAGCTGACTCAGATAAGGAAATATATGATACATTATGATGTGATATGATATGAATGATAATGGGACACATCGACGTCTGCACTCACAGTGCCGCGGACTGTACGTAATGTTACTCTGATCCGGTTCCTTATGTTGTGGCAGATATTTAAGTAAGCTTTCTTAACGCTAATGTTATAATAGTCAGATTGCTCTGAAGATGGGAGGGGATATTCTATTAATTTTCACGTTCACACAGTCAGTTGATTTTTGCCGGCCGTCTTTCCTGCAACGGCAGTTTTTCTGTATTTCCTCTATCCTGTAATATGAATTGATAGCTTTAAACTCTGCACACGGAGCTCTGATTGGTCAGCAGGCGGTGCTTTCACTGAGTTGATCTCTTAGCCTGCCACCTAACCTCCTCCCGAGCAGGTTAGCCGCTCAGCATCAGTTACCATGGAGATCTAGCCCGCTAAAAAGAGAACCAGCGTCGTAGGACCGGAAAGTCCGAGTTTTCCCTGAAGTCAGCCGGCTAAGAGAAAATCCAGCTTCGTAGTACAGGCCTCTGATCACACATCAACAGCTTTATGTAAACATATAAATCAGATTTTAAAGTGAAACTGAAAGACTAAAACTCAAAATATTCAAGATATCTCGGCCGCAGCTTCACAAACATACTCATTGTTCATCATAAGCAAACGTTTCCTTGTTACATTTCTAAATATAAACTGGTGAGTGTTTCCCCGTAGAGGTGTTGTATGTGCATGACACAAGCCGTTTGCTCTCGGGGAGAGGGGGAGGTAAATGTGGGAAAGCCCCCCAAAAAACAAGTTTTTTTTTTTAATGTCTCATTGTTGTTTCCACTGTGGCAGCAACGCTAACAAGATCCTTCGGACATGAGCTTTTTGAAAACTGAATGTAATGATTATTAAGTCTTTATGTCTGCTGTCACCAAACAATAACAACTTTAAGGGAAGTGTGTTTTTGTTTGTTAAAATTACTTAAGAATCAGTAAAGTGTGTTTGATGAAAATATGCTTTATTTTAACTTATGTACCTCATGACACACACACACACACACACACACACACACACACACACACACACACACACACACACACACACACACACACACACACACACACACACACACACACACACACACACACACACACACACACACACACACACACACACACACACACACACACACACACACACACACACACACACACACACACACACACACACACACACACACACACACACACACAACACACACACACACACACACACCACACACACACACACACACACACACACACACACACACACACACACACACACACACACACACACACACACACACACACACACACACACACACACACACACACACACACACACACACACACACACACACACACACACACACACACACACACACACACACACACGTTACCTGTTGCACTGCTGCATGATGGAGATCTCCTTGATGATCTCCTGGAGGTCGGACTCCACAGGAACTTGTTTGATGGCCACGATCTCTCCGGTCTCTTTATAGTGGGCTTTAAACACACAGCCGTACGACCTGACGAGAGAGAAAGAAAGAAGATGAGTCAATAAATAGCTGGTTATTGACATGAACCTCACTGACATCATTCTGTATCAACTTATAAGCATCACCAACCCTTGGCTTACACTCAAATGTCATAAAAGCTGTTTTATGCTTATTTCACCCTCATCGTAGTTCAAGTTAAAGAGTCACCTTAAAGTGAATGACCTCATCAGCATGCAAGATAAAGACAGGACTGTTTACTGAATGGAAAAAGTGAAATAGTTTATGCTGTTTGTGATTGTAGTATTCTGCTTTCAAATCTCAAAAGGAATATCCCTCTAAAGTTAAAGATTATCGAACAATAAACACATTTAGGATCATTCGTGAAGCATGAGGAACTATTGTCTATCAGCTGTGAGCATCTGTCTCTGTGAAAGTCTGTCCTTACATTATTGCCTCATTCCTGTCTCACTCACGCCTTCATTTTCACACAATTCACACAACAGCAAAATTAAGTGTCATTATGGTGGCTGGTGATTGGCTTATGCTACTAAATGACACAGTGAGAGTTAGATCCACTGGACGGGCGTTTAGTGTCGCATTTTGTCAAGAAACGAGAGCATCAGCAAGTGACGAAACCACTGCGTCAATCAGCCGCCGTGAACAGGAAGTGTGTTGAGAAACAGGAAATGAAGAGACAGTGTTTATGTTGATGAGCTCCAGAGAAGGGAGGAGCAGTGAGGGAAGAGATATGTTTGAAATACAGACACACAGATAATATATGGAAACACATACTGTATGAACCCACACAGTTTAAATAGAGAGAGGGTAAAATAACTCACCCCTCCCCCAGCTTCTCCAGGACGTCGAATACTTCCTCCGGCTGCTTGGTGAGGCTGTCCTCGCTCAGCTTCTTCAGCTGTCTGAAAGAGACAGAGACACATGAAGGGGACGTTTTAGTTCATGTTAATATTCAGGGAAGGGCTGGGGAATATGGAGAAAATCTAATATCACAGTATTTCTGATGAAAAACCTCGAAAAAGTGATTATTTGTACTTCCTGTTATGTCTTACATTTAGCTTATTCTTGCAACTTAACTCGACCATTATGTCAATTCAACTATTTTATTCCTTCTCTCTGTTCATGTTCAGTCTTTGAATCGATATCAAGACAATATTCAAGGAAGGGTTTTTTCTAGAAAGATACCGTATATGAGGTGATACTGTGCCGCTGATCTTGTTTATAAGATATATCAATTCTCTCGAGAACATGGCGCTCGTATACAAGACGGACGTAAACAACAACGTGACGTCAGAGCTCCGTAAAAACAAAGCTGTCTCTGCCGTCTGACGCTCTATTTGACACCATTTTATATATATTTGGAGTAATTATACCGTCTTTGAGGAACAGAAATATTGTTTTCTGGCTTCACTTTAACATTTTACGGGGAAAATGTGCATTTAGGTTCAGACAAAACCCTGCATATTGTAAGGTTTACCATTGGTGCTTGTCACAGAATGACATCAGTAGTAATGAAGATATAATGGCTAAAAGGGTAATAATAAAAACAGTCAGGTAAGTTCAGACGTTATGATATCTGTAAAATGGGAAAGAGTGTCTTGTTTTGACCAATCATAAGAAATCTATAGATTATCAGCTTTCAATGATATTTAAAATGGTAGATCTTCACATTTAAGTGTCATTTTAGTTTGATTTCTGGGATGGATGATAAGCAATAATGACGGATAAATCAGCCATACATATTTGCCAAATTAAAGTAACTTTTTCTTACATGAGTTAAACAATAATAAAACATCTTGAAATTCCAATATTTTATGAAGTTCCTTTATGAAGGAATTGAACCGCTAGTATCACCAGCAGTCTTTATGGACAGTCAGGACGTGCAAACTGAATACATCTCAGTATTTTGTAACCATCCGTCCACATCTGCTCTCTCCTGAGTCTGAGCAGAACTATAAAACTCCTCCAGATGTTTGACAAAGTTTAGACAGGATAGAAATAGCCTCAGCTTGTAACTAAAATAGATCCAAAGACGCCCCAGATGCAGCTTGTGACAAAAAAAGACAGATATTAAATCAAGTCGAATCAAAGACACGTTGCTCCTCCACTCTCGCATTGTATTTTTGTTAAGAAGCCTGTACTATATAAAGACTTTTGGATTTATGAATTAGTTCTTTCATATTTGTATCAGATTATCTATCTATTATGTGGGAAATAACTTCCTCTGATGATAAAAGTACAGAATCAACAGTCCACCTTCATCTGTTACAATCTTTCTTCTTCCTTTATTAAAGGGGCCCTACTCTACTCATTTTGTCTCTACTTTAAAGAGTCCTCTCCTGCTGATGTTCAGGTGTATATCAGTATGTAGTGTCTCTACTTTAAAGAGTCCTCTCCTGCTGATGTTCAGGTTTATATCAGTGTGTAGTGTCTCTACTTTAAAGAGTCCTCTCCTGCTGATGTTCAGGTGTATATCAGTATGTAGTGTCTCTACTTTAAAGAGTCCTCTCCTGCTGATGTTCAGGTGTATATCAGTATGTAGTGTCTCTACTTTAAAGAGTCCTCTCCTGCTGATGTTCAGGTTTATATCAGTGTGTAGTGTCTCTACTTTAAAGAGTCCTCTCCTGCTGATGTTCAGGTGTATATCAGTATGTAGTGTCTCTACTTTAAAGAGTCCTCTCCTGCTGATGTTCAGGTGTATATCAGTATGTAGTGTCTCTACTTTAAAGAGTCCTCTCCTGCTGATGTTCAGGTGTATATCAGTATGTAGTGTCTCTACTTTAAAGAGTCCTATCCTGCTGATGTTCAGGTGTATATCAGTATGTAGTGTCTCTACTTTAAAGAGTCCTCTCCTGCTGATGTTCAGGTGTATATCAGTATGTAGTATCTCTACTTTAAAGAGTCCTCTCCTGCTGATATGCAGGTGTATATCAGTATGTAGTGTCTCTACTTTAAAGAGTCCTCTCCTCCTGATGTTCAGGTGTATATCAGTATGTAGTGTCTCTACTTTAAAGAGTCCTCTCCTCCTGATGTTCAGGTGTATATCAGTATGTAGTGTCTCTACTTTAAAGAGTCCTCTCCTGCTGATGTTCAGGTGTATATCAGTATGTAGTGTCTCTACTTTAAAGAGTCCTCTCCTGCTGATGTTGATGTGACCATATTCAGAAACGTTGGGATTTGAGCCTTTGCAGACAATTTACATGCACATAAAACACACTACAGGAGAGGGAGAACCCTAAAATAGGAACTCTTTAAACAGTTATTGTTTCAAGCATTTTAATCTTTTATTGCTAGTACCTGCTAGCTGGTAGGTCAGACTTTATTCAGAGAAGTTGTTGTTAGATAAACAAATATGGGAATAGATCATGCTTCTTCTTTTGATTGATCCTTTGTTTGTTATCATTTTGTCGGCAGTCGTAGATGCATGAAGAATGGCAAACTATATGTTTTTATATTTGAAAAGCTCTGAAAAACATCGGAATGCATACTAGTCTTTCTGTCTGTCGAGCGGTCACTTGATGACAGAGCGTCTGACTTTCTTTGAGCTAAATGTATATCTGCCACATGTCAAACTGCGTGGACTTGGATCCAGAACCTCCGGAGAAACAGATCTGAGTCCTGCAGCAGCCCATAATCTGCTTTTCATCTGGACTCTGTGAACTTTCCATAAAAGCATGTGTGCATCTGCTGCGAACGAACGAACGCACGCACGTATATATATATATATATATATATATATATATATATATATATATATATATATATATATATCCACTGCGCCACACGCCTCCCAATGATCTAGCTGTTTGAGGAGGAAACAGTGGAGGAGTGAGTGGACGTGATAAAGGACAGGCTGTGTTTCACAAACATCCTCCTGATAAGCGGACAGAATAGGAACTCCTCAGTTCCTCACTCAAACACATCCAACAAACTCAATGAAAGTTTGTAAAGTGAACCTCTCATATCGAGCTTTCCTTTGGTCTCTCAGGCCCCACTCACACGGGAACGTTTGCGTTTATGCACAGTATGCGTATTCAAAAAAGTCTTCCGTTCACATGCATTCGTTTCATTTAACGTGTCTGTTCAAACGAGGCCGCTGGAAACGCTGTAGTACATATGCCGGGACTGTAAGTGGCGCTGTAACTTCCGCCAAAATACACCAAAAGCAGCGAAGAAGAGCAGCCCGAGCAGCCCCGCAACAATGTTGCCATGGCTACCCTTCTGTTTAAGCCCCGCGGTGTATTTAGCAACATGTAGTTCATGTAATTCTCCATGTCCACTTGTTGCTGATGGTTGTGGTAGAGGAGCTGTAGATGTTGCACTAATATCTGTAGCATGGTCAGTAGCAGTAGCACTAGCAGTAGCTACTGACAGGAGGAAGTGTGTGTGGCGATTGCTGGTATTCAGCGGGATATAGTCATTTCCTCAGCATATGGATAAATGCAACGGGGAAGTTAACTGAAAGAAACCGAATCTGTGGATATTGCATCGACCGACCAAGAAGCACGTCTCCGTGGAGAGGACGCGCTCAGAAAGAGAGATATTCTCTACAAACACCGGGTGAGATCGCTCCTTTGTCAATATAATGGATCAATGCATGAAATCTGACTCTGTTTATTTTGTTTAAGGAGTATATTGGGCGTTAACAATTCTGGTTTGCCTTTTATAATATTATTTCATTCAAGAACCCCCTGTGCGTTTAATTAACACAGCTATTTTTGATAGTTGCTACAGCAGTGAGCAGGAGAGGTGGGGAGAGGCGGGGCTATCGCTATTTTTTCAGGAAATATTCGTATCGAGGTGATTACACGGACTCGGTTGACCCCCCAGAGCGTTTCGTTTGCAAATCTATCCACCTTGGGACCCGTTATCGTTTGTGGGGTCAGTTTCTATCGGCCTCGTGTAAATAATAGGGCTATACGCACGCGAAACTATGCAGATACAAGCAGTTTTCTCCTCGTGTAAACGGCGCCTCAGACTGTGCTGAGGTCTCTGATTCCTCACACCTCTGTCTTCACACCTGATACACGAGTTAATGCACCTCACTGAGCAGGTTGAGATAACCCTGCACAGATTAAAGCAGATTAAGTCAAAGTTTGCAAACAGAATGAAGGCATTAAGGGCATTACATTGGATCAGCAGGGCTTTGATAGAGAGAACTCTCAGGGATTTGGTACAGAAGAGGCTAATTCAATAGGAAGTGGACTCGTGTATAACAAGGTGTTTATCTATGGTTCCTGAATGAATGAGAAGAAGAAAGTAGACAATATCTCTTAGCGCAGGTTTACAAAATCACTTCCATGAGCCAGGAGTTTCAGAGAGAGCTGCCATATACATTGAAGTATATAGAAATTACATCACAGAACAGCGAGACTCATAGATATCGTAGAAAGTAGGGATGCTCCGATCGCCAATTTTGGGGCCGATCACCGGAATCAGTATCGGCCGATACCGATCGCCGATCCGATCGAGTGGGCGGGGCCTATGGGGATCTTCCATTTAAAGTGATGTTTAAAACTCAGTTAATGGGGCTCAGTTAATGGGGCTCATTCACTGGCGCTTCCACAAACAACAATAATATATACATATATAACATAATAATTACATTCAAATGAAGTACATTATTCAAGTTTACATTAACTTTGGATAATAACACGGGAGAAATGAGCGGAAGCGCTCTCTTTTCCTCTCTCCTGACAGCCTGTCAGTATCTCATGAAGCTCACTGATCCAGTGTGTGTTTTGCTCCGCTCACCGGTCCGTCACAGCGGGTGGAGCTGCAGGATTTCTGCTTCACACACGTTGCATTCCGCTATTTTATTGTCTTTTTCGGACACCTTCAAATACTGCCAGACCGGTGAAGCCATTTTGGCGAGCTTGTTTTGCCGCACACAGAGAAAAGTGTCATGTATTTTACGTCATAATTTTACGTCATGCGATCGGCTCTCGCGATCGGCATTTTTAGAGAGCACCGATCAATCGGCAGAGAGTGAGTATCGGCCGATATCGATCGGCGGCCGATCGATTGGAGCATCCCTAGTAGAAAGGTTACCTGAAGTACATTTTCAGAGCCAATTTGGTACTTTTTACTCCACAAATGTAGTGACTAGCTTAAAAATAAACCATGACGTATTATCATTATCGGTTAAGCTACCCAGCAGCAGTATAGCAAGTAATCGAAATGATCCCCACCTTTACCTTTAAGTGCTACATTGACATAATGCATTGTGATATTTTTCAATCTGATATGGGCCAGACTGGAAAACGAGTACTTTTGGTACTTTCCGTGTAGTTTGATACTAATACTTTTGTACTTTTACTGAAGTACAACTTGAATGCAGGACTTTTACTTGTAACAGAGTATTCCTACACTCTGGTGAGTCTACTTTTCCTTCAGAATAAGAACTGAGTGCTTCTTCCACCTTTGCTTCCACCTGAGTAAATGAGCTTTGTTACACTTCACCTTTATATAAAACACTCAAAAGCTGCACTAAGGTGATTTACCTGGTGTTAGGCACATCTTTGTAGTACAGTATTTTATCTGATATATATATATATAATTGACTTCTTCTGCTTACTTGCACACTTGTCTTGCATCTTCTTGGACTATTTGTATTTGTTTTATGTCTTAATATATTTGTTGGAGGAGCCTGGGACTTCAGATGTCAATGTATTATACACTGAAGCTGCTGTTTATATGACAATAACGCTTTGAATCTTGAATGTCCATCCCACCTGCAGCACCACAAACAGCAGCCAGACAACATCAACATTTTGTTTGTTTCTATTTCTATAAGTTGTTAACTGTTTATTTGTATATATCTTTACTGTATTTGCACTATTCATAGTTATTGACCGAAAACAAGTGCCTTAAATGTAGTAAATTGTAAAGGATTGATAAAAAAAAACATCACAGGTTGAAGATGAATATATATTTTCATTATTAGCATATATTTACCTGCGAGGGTGGCTCCTCATCTGCACTTTATCCTTATTCTCCATAATGTTGTCCTCTTCTGGACCCCCTTTCTCTGTAGAACTTGACGTGAACAACTCGATGCTAACTGACGCTAACGGATGCTATTAATACCTTTAAACTACCTTGTGGTCTGTTAGCTCGCTAAGCTAAGCTAAACTAAGCTAACTGTTAGCAGCACTGTTACAGCAGCTCCTGTCGCCCGTTAGCCGCTGAAAACACACCGTTCGGTATTCATTCTGTAACACGGGTTTCACAGACGGTACAGACTCCTCTCCGGTGTTGTTTCCCCGCCTCTGAGCTCATCCTCCTCTGGTGTCTCGGTAACTTTGGACTTGTTTCGCAAACCACTCGGAAGACGTTTGAAAATAAACCAGGAAGTGATCGTGAGGAGGCGGGCAGACAAAGGGTGCAGTTCCGAGGAGCGGCCGCTGGGGGGCGACAAACTGACACAATGCAAAGACTCACAGAGCAACAATGTCATAATATAGAAGAGTCTATGGTCATAGCACACTTCATTTTAAAAGTCAATTTTTTTAAATAGTGTTGTATCCTTAGTTCCATCCATCAATTAATCAAAGTTGATTTATATAGCCCAATATCACACATTTTACTTTTGTCTCAGTGGACTTTCAAAGGTGTTGGGCGGGGGGGAATTCAGGGTTTTTTTCCGGTTTAAAAAAACCCTTCCATTCTAACAACAAAACGGTTATCTCGTTTGGGAAATCCAGCTATGACTTAGTCATTTCTGAACCGTCGAACACAATTCAGCTGTGGCTGAGAGGAAGAGCTGTTGTCATTGAATCAGAAAGTGGTGGGTTCAATCCCAGCCATGCCGTTATCATGTTGATTTAACCTAGTGTGTATTGTGCTGCTTGTTACATTTCTGTGTTCTTACTGCTAGTGGAGAAGAGCTAATAAACAATTATATTTAGCTCTTGAGGGCTCTGGAGTGAAGTGTACTTCTTGCGCCAAATCCATCAAAGTCATATCAAAGTTTATTTATTTAGCCCAATATCACACATTTTACTTTTGTCTCAGGGGGATTTACAGTTTATACAGAACATGAATACGCCGGAAATTCCCAGTGCTGTAATCTTAAAAAATATTTATTGAAGAGAGAAGAGTCACTGTGTTTCTCCTCGCACTTTGTACAACTTGACCCAAAGCTTCCAAATAAAAGGGGGACTGGTCAGAGGAAGGGAAATAAAATATTATAGCAACTCAAAGATATTGTTAGAGGCACATGCCATGCACACAACTTTCAGAGCAATTGAAAGTACATTTGTTATAAATATTGTCGTATCCACAGAATACAAGGCTACCAAGCAGAACAACATAGTGTGAAACACTCTTAGAAGGGATGTGTCAAAAATGACACAATATGTGTTGAATTTCAACACACCTACAGAGTGTGCTCAGGGACAACACGTGTTGTGTTAATTTATGTGTAAATCATTTTACACACAAAATGTGTTACATGCCCCTAACACACAATGTGCACATTTTACACATTGTGTGTCATAAATGTGTAACCAAGATGAACACTCATTTGTTATTTCTGCACATTTTGTGTTATATTTCTTTAACCAGAATTAACATTTGAATGTGTTATATCTGCACATTGTGTGTCAATGACGATTACTGGAAGTACCAGGTGGTGGATATGGTTTTTATTCAAAAATCAAATGCAAGAATACATTCATTGGACATTTATTTACAAAGATTTCATGAGCACAATATCTCATTAAGAAAATCATTTTTAACATTTAAAGGTGGGGTAGGTAAGTTTGAGAAACTGGCTCGAGATACACTTTTTGTTATATTCCATGGAATGCTCTTAACATCCCGATAGCAATGAATATCTTAAGTGCTTTGACAAAAAATCCATAAAAAAATGTCATCTGTGGAAGCTGTAGTACTGTAAAAAGTACCCGACCCGGCTAAAATAACTGGATGGCCTACCTGCCTGTCAGCCTTCCATCGGGGCACAAACTTATCTCGTGCCCTCATTGGTCATGTGCGCGTTCGTGTGTGTTGGAGGAGGGGCTCTGTAAGGAAGTGGCAGATTTTCTCCGGTTGTGTATTTTCAAATTCTAGCGATCTCGAGCCGGTTTCTCAAACTTACCTACCCCACCTTTAAAAACATTAATATTTTTCTAATTCATCAAATGTTGACAGAACAGATAATTCATTAAATCAGACCTAAAAAAACCTTATACCTTGGTTAAAACAAACTTAATCTTCAGCAAACTATTGTTGCATAAACATAACCATCAAATGTTTAATATCACTGAGTCACTACAAGCAGATATGTTATTAAATATTAATATTAAATATACAGTACTGAGTTTTTATTATGGAAATGCCAAAACATTTGAAGTCTTTGACATTGCGATGTGTTTCCATCCAGCTGTTATCATACACATATTTAATATTTGCACAATATTTCATTAAGAAAGTAATTTAAACATGAGAATGTCTTCAGTTTTTAAACATGAGAATGTCTTCAGTTTCTTGCATAACGTATGCAAAGAAATTATCATCAAAGTATTGAACTTGCAGTATTCTAATGAGAGAGTGAAATGTCTCACAGTGGGGTATAAGTTGAATAATTTCCCCAAATAAGTGCTCCCCTTGATGCTGTGTTTTAAGGGGCAGCACAGATCCAGTCCTGTATGTCCGGCCCTTTATGGTCAGCGAATGTGTGACATAAATGATGCTATTCATCGTGACATTTTCATCTAGGGCTGATTTCAGTCCCTCCAGTATAATATCAGCTTTTTTCAGAGAACCAATATTCACAGGGCAGGCATTGTCGATGTTGCACTTATTACTGAACGCGTCACCAAGCTGGAAATGATACATCTGTTGAACCTGATGTTTCTGAGCTAGAGTTTTTGCAATATTTTTAAAATTGCATACAACATGTACTTGCCTCTTTAATGGGTTATACTTGGCCTCAAATCTCATACACCATAAATGAGAAAGAGGTCCAAATAAACAAAGCAGTCTTGGATAGTGCACCATGAAATGGTGCTTCGGTATCAGATTTTGTTCAAACAATGTTTTGTAAAGCGTGTGGCGATCAATGATGAGCTGCTTTAGAAAAACAGCAAGCCCAACACTAACAGGTGAAAATACAATGCTGCAGATTTCCCTCAACAAAATGAACAGTTGCCAATACTGGTCTTTCCTTTCAATGAAATCTCCGATCAAAAAGGGTAAAACCTGCAACAGACACCACATCTGGGATGCAGTTTGCCTGACAGCATTTTCAGAAAATCTTAAATTGATAATGACGCTCGGTTTGTTTTTCCCATTGACATACCCGTAGTTAAAACCAGCAATCCTTTGGTTCAGTTGCTCAAGAGTGAAAAGTTTTTCTTGATAAATGAAGTGACGCAACAACAGCTTTACCTCTAGAGGAGCAACACCCTCCAGTATGTCATGCATTATGTCCACATGTATTTTCTGTTACATGAAAATGTTTAAGGCTGTTCAAACATGAGTTTCCTTTCACACCAGTCGAGCTGGGATTACAGATCCTTACATGTTGTTCATAGTTCTCCCTGGTGCGTTTAACAACTCTGTCCTCATCAAACACTGACTTTACTTCCTTCTTGTCAATCAGGCAAAACTGGCAACATTTGTTTGCAGAAAAACTCTCCACATAGCCACACATTGTGTTTATTGCTAAATGATCTGCTGTTAAAACTGAAATGGTTCCAAACAGCTTTTTAATGTGTCCATTAGATTGAACTTCCACACCAGAGTTTTCAAGGACTCTCAAGAAGTGGCTCTAGGATCTTACCAAGCCCATATGTTTCCCTGTCAATTGAGTTGAACAATAAACATAGATGAATATGAGCTAGAGATGAATTGCACTCCGGGGGTAAATTCCGTAGTGTGAAGTAAACAGCACCCATTTTATGAATTTTGGTTTTAGATCCCAGAGGATTTGTTGTCTCTACGTCATCATAATACAATTGAATTTGCAGGGAATCTGGATACGATTGGTCTAGTGAATGGTTTGAAAATAGATACCCATCACTGTCGTCACAGATCATATTGTCTTTTTTGTTCTTGTTTTGAAAGTATATGCTTTGCATTTTGTCGTTGCTAAATAAGAATTTGATAGTTTCAATAATCGGAATGTACTGACAAGTGTCTGGTGCCAAAACTTGCTTCAATTGTCCCTGTTTCCGTACTGTATCTGCTCTATGGCCAAGGAATATTTCCTGTGGCTTAATAAGATGAAACTTTTCTGAAAAGTGTTTGTTTATTTTAAAATTAGTGTCTAATTCATCGAACATATGCTTGTCTCATTACTGGTAGAACAAATTCATGCTCAAGTGGTACCCCAATATTACTGAGTACTGATGTCACTGACTTTTGTAAGTCATCTACAGTTGTTTCTACAAGTTCTTTAACACAAGTTACAGTTCTTGTGACATCCATTTGTGTTACATTTGATCCAGAATACATTTTTGCCACAAATGAGGCTGCACGGTCACTTAGAGAGACAGGTTGAAAGCTCTCAAACAGCTCAGCTGTGTTTTCCTCTTGACTAATTGTGTCTATGGTCCTTGTGGAGTCAGTGATTGGTGGGTAGGTCTGAAGAATAGCACCATCTCCTGGGTTACTTGTTATTTGGTGCTCTCTAGAAATGTGCTTTGCAAATGAATTTATGCTGTGGTATGTCCTTGGGCAGCCATCTTGGCTGCAAGTTATGACAATGCATGGATTTCACGAAGATGCCAGATAAGTTTTTTTATCTGTGTGAATTGTGAAGGGCATTTTGGACAAGTATACATATTGTTTTGATTTAATTAACAGACTTTAATTTAGAGATGAGGTCCAAAACCTTTGCTCTCCGGTTTATTGACATTGGTAGGTCGTAGATGTGCTCAAAGAATGAGAACAGAGAGCTGAGTGGGGTTGGGTAGGCCAGGTTGCATACCCTGTAAAGCTTGAACAGCTTGTCCACAGCACATCCCAGACCTTCATCCAAAGGAATGGCAATCTTGTCAGACTTTGCCACAATGACGTACTGCTGTGACCCTCCCCTTTGATGTCCAATGCAGACAAGATGTGGCTGTATGGTCTGTCCTGGATCCTGGGGTGCATCGAAGAGGGAATCAATGGAACTCCCTGCCTAGAAATATTGAAATATTAGAATTAGTGTTTTCATTCAGTTCATCAACAGCAACTCCTAAACTAGTTAATTATAACCAAGTATGTGCATGTTGTTTTATATTGACCTACTGACTAAAATTCACATAATTTAACATTAAACTAAACATACCGGTACAAATTCCATGAGTTTTGTAATTGCAGACTTCACGCTACAGCGTGTTGCAGCAACAGGTGGAAGAAGATGAGTTAGTA